CACACACACACACACACACACACAGACACACACACACTCACAGAAACACAGACACACACACACACACACACACAGACAGACACACACACAGGCAGACACACACACACACAAACATTAGTTTTTATGGTTTATGAGGACTCTCCATAGGTGTAATGTATTTTTCAAACTGTATTTTCTATCACTCTACACCAACCCTGTTAATTTTTAGTTTTAACTATAATACCGTTTTTTACTGCATTTTTTATCAAATAAATGCAGCCTTGATAAGCAGAAGAGGCTTCTTTCAAAAACATTCAAACATTTTAATGTCCCAGCGACCCTACAGAGGATGCGCGGTGCTGAGAATGAATGGATGGCAGCGGTGGGAGGTTGTTGCTGTTGTTTTATGTTTTTGTGACTGCAGTGTCAGGAGTGTGTGATGCGCTGCTGTACCTGAGTGGCCCAGAGGAAGTCCAGGCGCAGCTTGAGCTCCATCTGTCTGGAGTGAAGGGCCAGAGTGGTGAAGAACATCAGCAGAGAGAGGACGGGCTCCAGACCGCGAGCGCTCATCAACACCGTCCTGCACTCCAAACACACACCATCACAGAGATTCAGCTCAAGCTTTTAATGGACAGCTCGTACACTACCTGTCAAACGTTTCTGAACAGTAAGATTTTTTATGTTTCTTCTGCTCACCAAGCCTGTATTTATTTGACCCACAGTCCAGCAAAAGCAGTAATATTGTGAAATATTTTTTCTATTTAAAATAACTGCTCTCTATGTGAATAAATTTTAAAATATAATTTATTTCTGTGATGCGCAGCTGAATTTTCAGCATCATTCCTCCAGTCTTCAGTGTCACATGATCTTCAGAAATCAGTATAATATGCTGATCTGCTGCTCAAGAAACATTTTTATTATTATTATCATTAATATTCAAAACAGTTGAGTACATTTCTTCAGGATTCTTTTATGAATAGAAAGATCCAAAGATCAACATTTATCTGAAATGAAAAGCTTTTGTAACATTATACACTGGAAGTATAATGACTTGTGTATAATGTGTCAAAACCTTGGAGTCAGTATAAAGTACCTTCAATACCCCGACTGAGGTGAGACCCTTGAGCAAGAACCGAACCGCCTACCTCGGTGTGTGTGTGTGTGTGTGTGTGTGTGTGTTCGCTGCTGTGTGTGTGTGTGTGCTTGGATGGTTTAAATACAGAGCCCAAATTCTGTGTATGGGTCACTATACTTGGCCACACATCACATCACTTCACTCACTAACCTTACTGTTCAAAAACTTTTGACTGGTAGTGAAGATTCTGAGCTTAGCTTTCATTGATCAGTAGTTGTGATGGTTTGTGTGTTTTTCTGTGTATCCAGTGATCTCTCACCCCGAGGAGCGTCTGAATCCGCTGAGCTCCAGCACGGTGATGTACAGCACCAGCAGCAGCAGCAGCAGCAGGAGTTTGGACAGCCAGGACACTCGCAGGAACAGCGCCACGGTCAGCGTCCCCAGCATGCAGCACAGAAAGGCGTACTGCGCTCCTTCACACGGCAGCTCAGCCATGGTGCGGTTCAGGCCTGTGGACACGTCGATGATCACGATGGAGCGCGTGGAGTCAGTCGGCCAGAGCCACGGCATGCAGCCCACCTGACACACACAGAGAGAGAGAAAGGGTTTAATGAAGAAAAGATGTTTCATGTGTTATGAATCTCTGTGATTCTTCAGTCTGGATTGACTGAACCTGAGCACTAAAGTCAAGTCACCATTATTTATATTGCGCTTTTTACAAAACAGCTTTACAGTATTAAACAGGCAAATAGTGCCTCTGGCCAGACGAGACCAGCAGTTTAATTCTAGGCTGCAACAAAATCAATCTGAGATATGCAGCAAGTTCAGCTCCAGTAAAGTGATGTAAGAGTGAGTTACCACACAGGCCTGGGCCACGGCGTATATTAAGAGCACTATGAACACACACAGGACGGTCCGGATCTGTATGCTGAGGCACCCTGGAAAACACTGAGACACACAGAGACACACAGAGACACAGAGATCAATGGTGAGAGATCAGCTTACGGATATGAACCAGTCAGCTTCTGGAAAAAAACGTAAATTAAATTACGTGCACACAGTTATTTTTTGACTGATCTTATTGCATATGCATATGCAGGAGTTTCCCTTTCTAAAAAGATTTAAGTATTTAAATCAACCATGCAGCGTGATTTACTAAGGCTTCCTCAGTTTATTGGTATTTGTGTCGTTATTTAACACCCAGTAAAGCATCTTTTAACATCGGCTCTGCTCATTTGCAACAATAATTTGTGCTGCTCTCAGTAGATTGTGTTGCTCATTATGGAAATGAATCTGTGTTATCAGCAGTACGTTCCACTCTCATCTGTGTTTAGTAAATCTGGCTCATAAATAGTTAGAAACGATGTGAAACTGAAGATGACACACGACGGTTCAGCTGGACTGGTGAAGGTGGTGTTGAGTGAGTTTTTACCTGAACTCTAGAGATGTGCAGGTACATGATGCACACGACCAGGAAACAGATGCAGAAGACCAGCAACACCAACACAAGCGTCCCCCTGAGAACAACAACACGAGAGAAAATAACAGTGAACGCTCAGAAGAGTGAACACTGTGTGATGAGAACGCCTGCTTCTCTCACGTTCAGCTCTGACTCCACATTTCAGTCAAACTCTACAGTCACTTTCTGTGAAAACTACATTCAGATTCAACAGTCAGAATTAATTCAGTCCGATTGAACCAAAAATGGTGCATGTAAACATAGCCACTGTTTCTGCGTGGGATCAGGATCCGGCGTGATGGGGTGACGCTCCGCTGTACGTACTGTGGAATGATGAGCAGGTAGAGGATTGCGATCAGAGCCGTGAGGACGAGAGACAGAAGCACAGCGCCGGTGAAGTACTCGTCATTCAGCTGATGATACTGCAGAAACACAGCACACAGCACGCTCAAACACTCAGCTTACACATGCTGAAATACTCTGACCTCACAGCAGATCACATACACATGATTCAGCTCAAAGCCACACGCTCATCCCAGCAAACCAGCATTCCCATATGGTTATTTTTTGGGAGTCAAATAGGAACGTTCTGGGAACTTTCTCTATAGGTTCGTTTAATTGTAACCTAAAACCAATCTTTCCAGAATGTTGCAGGGAGGTTTGCTTTTTTTTGGTTTTGTTTTGTTTTTGTAAAAAACAATTAAAAACCTGTACAGAAAGTTCCCTACAGGGAATGTACACTTGTCCAGTTTCGTCTGGAGTGAGTCTCAGACCACGTCCTGAAGTAGTTTGAGTGATCGGAAAAGTTTCGGATGGCATTTACACCTGGTCTTTTCATGACCAGGTGTAAACAGGTTCTTTGTCACATCTAGTGTGGACAGACAAAATGCTTGTCACTAGAATCTTACTGCATCTTATTCTCGTTAGGACACACTGTTACAGTGTTTGAATCACAGGGACTTGCTTACAGTGCACACAGAAATGTGAGCCTGCAGCACAAAAGCAGTGTTAAGTCGCTGGGGTATATTTGTAGCAATAGCCAACAATACATTGTATGGGTCACAATTATACATTTCTCTTTTATGCCAAAAATCATTAGGATATTAAGATCATGTTCCATGAAGATATTTTGTAAATCTCCTACCGTAAATACATCAAAACTTAATTTTTGATTAATAATAAGAACTTCATTTGAACAACTTTAAAGATGATTTTCTCAATATTTTTTTGCACCCTCAGATTCCAGATTTTCAAATATTGTCCTATCCTAACAAACCATACATCAATGGAAAGCTTATTTGTTCAGCTTTCAGATGATGTATGAATCTCAATTTCACAAAATTGACCCTTATGACTGGTTCTGTGGGCCAGGGTCACATATCAGCACTGTGTCATACACTGGGGTCAAAACCAGTCCTGTTTAGCACAGTAACTCCCGGTTAAACTCAGCACAGGACTCTCACCCTGCGCTCTCGCTCCGAGTCTCTGTAGGTGAGCGTGAGGTAGTGCAGGTCGGCCGTGTCGGACTCCGTCTGCCGGGCCTCGATCAGACGGCTGATGTAGCGGTTGACCCGTGTCCCCGGGCTGCTCTGGGTCACGTTAGCCGCCGTGGAGGTACGGTTCCTCAGCTTCTCCGGAGCCGAGCGCAGCACCCTCCTCTGCCAATCACAGACACGATCACATGACCACATGATGAGGCTGTGAGAGTGACAGCATGAGCTGAACAGCAGATCTCAGACACGTCAGTATCAGCAGACACAGGGAAACCGCTCTGGATTCATTCAGCATTATGTGTTTTCTCAGAGTCTCATCATACCTTGTCCCCATCCTCACAGTTCATGACGTTGGAGAAGGGAATCTCAGCCTTGAACATCTTGCGGCAGTGCATGAGCTGCACCAGCAAGTAACACACCGTCTTAAACTTCATCTTTTTGGCAGGTTTGATGTCTGACAGGATCAAACCAGGAATAATCTGGAAAAACACACACAAAACACTCAAATTATGTCAGTCATGCTGAACAATGGCATATATTTACAATAAAAACGCTGCCATCATTTATAAATTCATGCTGTAGCCTATTCTACAATGACAAGTTACTTTTTGGGGAGAATTTATAATAAAGCCAAATGTGACCCTGGAGCATAAAAGCAGTCATAAGTCGCTGGGGGATATTTGTAGCAATAGCCAACAATACATTGTATGGGTCACAATTATACATTTCTCTTTTATGCCAAAAATCATTAGGATATTAAGTAAAGATCATGTTCCATGAAGATATTTAGTAAATCTCCTACCGTAAATATATCAAAACTTAATGTTTGATTAGTAATATGCATTGCTAAGAACTTCATCTGAACAACTTTAAAGATGATTTTCTCAATATTTAGATTTTTTTGCACCCTCAGATTCCAGTTTTTCATATAGTTGTATCTAATTTAAAAAAATTGACCATTATGACTGCTTTTGTCTAGGGACACAAACAGGGGCGTAATGCACTCATTATTTCTGAGGGGGGGGGGGGGGGGGGGGGGGGGGGGGGGGGGGGTAGAGCGGTTTAGTGGCTCGTCATGCATGTCATGTGACGCACAGCAGCCACGATAGCACTGTATAACTGAGTATAGGCTTATGTTTTATTTTTGATGAGATATTTCCAAAATTGTTAACTATTTCATGATATATCTCGATTCTCAAATGTGTAAGTACATTTTGCACCATTATAGATTATGTTAGTTCATATAATATATAATGGGCGATGGGCAAAGTAGCCTCATAGTGTAATCTATTAGCTACACATAAAACCCGTCTTTTTACTTAAGCACCAGATATGGGTGTCATGCCATAAAATATTTTTAATAGTGACTTTGTATTTAATGTGAATTTAATAAAAACATTGTAAGTTACTAATTAGAACACTTTCATTGTACAGAAAGAAAGCAAAGAACATTTTCATTATCAAACAGCACTTTCATTCAGTCTAGCCAGAGTTCAAGCACTCTCTAAAACTCCCATTATAATCACTGAAGCTGTGTACAGTGTGAAATGAATATCTTACTTACATTCGTACGCACATCTGCACTTTGTTTCTGATGAGAGAATTTGCCAGAGAATTCAGTCAGTGAGCAAGTGAACAAAACAGCGGCATTTCAGCGATGAACGCCTCTGATTGGTCATTGCATTCATAAGCTCAACAGAATTGTGTGTGATTGGTTATAATGCGCAGCGCTGTAAAAAAGCGTGTGTTTCTGGCTCAGCGCCAGCCAGAGAACACAGATATGAATTTAGCAGCTGGTGATGAGTGTTCTAATCACACCGGGGTGATTGTATCAAATATAAAAATATTATTCGGCTATTTTTTGTCTTTTGAAAGCTGAATTCAAAATCCACTTGGGCCCCCTCCGTTTGAATGGGCATGACGCCTCTGGTCACAAACGTACTACTGTACATCTACTGTGCATTTAGTAATTCTGTGTCATTTTTGTAGTTTATGTATAGTTGAACATTGTTATTTTTGTAGTTTGTTTGATGATTTTTTGATAATATACTATGGCATGAATAAATGCACCCAAGTGACAAATTTAGATTATAAAAACATTGTGAACATTGTTTTTAAAAATTACAGTCACACTTTAGTTTATGCTCCAATTCTCACTATTGACTACGACTTTTGCCTCAATAAAATCCTAATTTGCTGCTTATTAATAGTTAGTACGGTAGTTGTTAGGTTTGGGGATGAGTTTTAAGGATAAAGGGATCTAAAGCATGCTCATGCAGAATAAGACATTAATATGTGCTTTATAAGTACTAATAATAAATATGCTAGTAATATGCATGCTAGTTAATAGTGAGAATTGGTCCTTCATATAGTGTAAAATATTACTAAAACGTTCACTCGTACTGCGTCTGCTAAGTGGCTATGGGGAAAACTCCTTTTTCTCCGATGACTGAAGCCTTTTTCAATAACGCAGTGTAACTGCACAGCCATTGGTTCGTGCAGTGAATTAAAAACGAACAAACGAACCGCCTTCAGCGCCCGCAGCAGTGCCAGTCTTCCAGATCCCTGGAAGATTGTACTGGTTCCCCATAACGTCTTAGCAGACGCAGTACGAGTGAAGTATCGATAGGAAATGTACTCAGTTACTAACGTAACCTCGGTTCCCTGAGTAACTGGCCGTGCTATGTAGCTGCACGACTCAGTCGTCGCTTCATTCGAAGTAACCTGAGGATCCTGTGGCGATATGCCGCTTATATAGCCAGATGCCCCACCCATTCTGGCTGGCTTCGTAAGTTAGGAACCGAGTATGTTTTTTTATTGTGATTGTAAGTTTATTTAAAACTTAGCGAAAAAATTCTTAAAATATATTTCTAACTTTATTTTCACCCAAAATATAACATTATTTGAGTGTTTATTTGTACTATTCTAAGAGTGTTTTCTCTCAACATTGAGAGTGTTCATTAACTACAAATAACATCATAAGGACGCTTTGAGAATGTTGTTCTAAGAATGCTTTCGCTCTACATTATGATAATGTATATCAAACATTAAAGAATGTTCCATAAACATTACTAAAGAATCTCTTAAAATATGTTAGTGGAACTTGTGGGAATGTTCCCTGTTATGTGCACACACACCTTCCTGCGGTGAGATGGCACTATGAAGAAGGTCTCGATGTCATGTTTGAGCAGGAACGAGTGTCTCTCGCGCCCGTTTCCCGGCTCCACCTCGTAATTTCCATTTAGACAGTCCAGCGTGGCGCGAGTGATGTGCACCTTCCTGTAGAACAAGCAGACGAGAGGAGAAACAGCTCTCAAGCAGCTCAGGGTTCTGGAGAGGAGTGTGATGCTGATTGCTTGAGCTCCTCACCCCGGCAGTCCTCCAGCCTCCATCACGTTGGCCAGCGTCACGTCGTTGGACCACACATCATACTGCCACTTTCTGAGGCCCAACACGCCACAGAGCACCCGTCCCGTGTGCAGACCCACACGCATGTTCAGATCCACCTCTGTAGCTTCAGCCACCGACCTGAAGAACACAATCACGCTCAACAGCTCAGTGTCTGTCAGTCAGTCACCCATAATCAATGAATGAAGATTTACATGAAAAGTGGTTTAATGAGCCATAAGTCAAACTGTTTACACTAGCTGTCAAAGTCTGGAATAATTCTGAAGTCTCTTCTGCTCACCAAGGCTGCATTTATTTGATCAAAGATACAGTAGAAACAGTAATACTGTAAAATATTATTATAATTTAAAATAACTTTTTTTTCTGATTATTGTCAATGTTGAACACAGTCGTGCTGCCGAATATTTTTGTGGAAACCGTGATACATTTGATTTTTTTAGGATTCACAGATGAATAGAAAGTTCAAAAGAACAGCATTTATTTGAAATAGAAATATTTTGTAACACTGTAAATGTATTTACTGTCACTTTTGATCAATTTAATGCGTCCTTGATTAACTAAAAAAAAAAAAAAAAGAAAAAAAAATTTTGATGGAAATGTATCACGACTGTTTTCAACATTGATAATAATCAGAAATGTTTGTTGAGCAGCAGATCAGCATATTATACTGATTTCTGAAGATCATGTGATGCTGAAGACTGGAGTAATGATGCTGAAAATACAGCTGCGCATCACAGAAATACATTACAGTTTAACAGAGATTCACACAGAAAACAGCTGTTTGAGATAAATAACATTTGAAATAATATTTCACAATATTACTGTTTTACTGTATTTTTAATCAAATAAATGCAGCCTTGTCAAGTGGAAGGGACTTCTTTCAGAAACATTTAACCTTAATTATTCCAGACTTTTGGCCAGTTGTGTATATTGTAATATGTTTATGTCTAACTGTAACCAGTAGGTGGTTCTGCACATATACAATTTTGTGTGATAACTCCAGAAGTTGCAGAGTTTCACCTTTTTGTTGCTTTGCCATCGGATTTGTTGCTGGGTTAGAGAATAACTCTAAAGTATATCAAAATAGTTATGAATAAAATATGCAAAGAGTTCCTGAAGGATAAAGGGACACTGCTCTTCTAAATCATGACTGTAGCGATTTGAAATACAAATCAAATCCACAAACAGATGTGTCGTGGCTAAAAACAAATCTTCATCAGGGATAGTTCACCCAAAATAATTAGCTCACCCTCATTTTGTTGCACTGTTTATTATACAACATATGCCTTCAGAAGACATTCAGGTAGGTGTGAAGGATGACAGAAGGATCATATTTGGGTGAACTAACACTTTAAGAAGTTAAAAGCCAAATAAATAAATACAAATAAAATTCAATTTTAAGTAAGACATGTTGCTGAAGTTTTATTTCAAAAGTTCAAAGAGTTTCACTGACATATCAGAAATCTTTCAACAGCTTTTGTCCACATGGGCCTGATGATGATTTGGTGAAGATTCAATGATCACTCAAGGAAAAGTACATAACGTTCATAATCATAATTCAGATGTATGACTGAAAGGAGCCAGAACAATCCTCAGCACATATCCTCTCAGGAGTGACTGGGGAAGCAGTGCTGGATATAGTACACACTAGAGTGAAGCGTGTGTGATTGAACACTAGATTTACTGAGGAACTCATCATCCTGCTGCCCTTAAAGAAGAGCCTTCATCAGCGGCTCACACTCACGTGATGGTGTCGATCATGTCCAGACCCATCTCCACGCAGCAGTGAGCGTGATCCGTCTTGGGCTGCGTCAGGCCAGACACACAGTAGTAGCAGTCGCCCAGAATCTTGATCCGCCGGCAGTGATTCTCCTGCAGATGAACAGAGGAGGAGGAAGCTTTACAACTGCAACTCTGCATGAAGTATGAAGTATGAAGTATGAGTGTCAGAAAATATAAGCATTGTCATGTGACTTTCTGACAACACAGTGATTTGCGTATAAATGTGAGCCTGGAGCACAAAAGCAGTCATAAGTAGCACAGGTAGAGTATATTTGTAGCAATAACCAACAATACATTGTATGGGTCAAAATTATAAACAAACCATACATCAATGGAAAGCTTATTTATTTATTGATTGATGTATAAACCGATTGATGTATTTATTGATGTATAAATCTCAATTTAAAAAAATGTACCCTTATGACAGGTTTTGTGGTCCAGGAGCACAAATGTTCATTCACTCTGCATATAGCTGTGCTTTTAAAGCCTCTGGACTATTGGCAGTTAAGTCTTGGGTTTCTTGTGCAGGGTTCATATGAGCGTAGTTCATGAAGTATGAGTGTCAGAAAATATAAGCATTGTCATGTGACTTTCTGACAACACAGTGATTTGCGTATAAATGTGAGCCTGGAGCACAAAAGCAGTCATAAGTAGCACAGGTACAGTATATTTGTAGCAATAACCAACAATACATTGTATGGGTCAAAATTATAAACAAACCATACATCAATGGAAAGCTTATTTATTTATTGATTGATGTATAAACCGATTGATGTATTTATTGATGTATAAATCTCAATTTAAAAAAATGTACCCTTATGACAGGTTTTGTGGTCCAGGAGCACAAATGTTCATTCACTCTGCATATAGCTGTGCTTTTAAAGCCTCTGGACTATTGGCAGTTAAGTCTTGGGTTTCTTGTGCAGGGTTCATATGAGCGTAGTTTGACAGTTGAGTCCTGCAGTACGAGTTTAACACAGTCTAGTGCTGGAATCTATCTTTGATATGATACCTTGTAAAATATCTATTTGTAGCAATAACCAACAATACATTGTATGGGTCAAAATTATCAATTTTTCTATGGATATCAATATTGTCCTATCCTAAATGGATATCAATATTGTCCTATCCTAACAAACCATACATCAATGGAAAGCTTATTTATTTATTGATTGATGTATAAACCGATTGATGTATTTATTGATGTATAAATCTCAATTTAAAAAAATGTACCCTTATGACAGGTTTTGTGGTCCAGGAGCACAAATGTTCATTCACTCTGCATATAGCTGTGCTTTTAAAGCCTCTGGACTATTGGCAGTTAAGTCTTGGGTTTCTTGTGCAGGGTTCATATGAGCGTAGTTTGACAGTTGAGTCCTGCAGTACGAGTTTAACACAGTCTAGTGCTGGAATCTATCTTTGATATGATACCTTGTAAAATATCAATATTCAATACCATTTTTGATACTGCGGTGAAAACCTGCTATAACATTAAGGGCATAAAATCTGACGAGTATAAGACATTTCTGTACATTTTAAAGTTAAATGCAGGCCAAGCTGGTGCAATCTGAAGTGATCTCAGTCTTTCAGTCCACATCACATTCACATTAGTGATTTTAGGAAGTCAAATAATTAAAATATAATAATAAATATAGCAATAAATATTAATAAATAATCTTGTATTGCTATTATTATCTCTAAGACATAAATGTTTTATAATACAACTTCACTTTAAAATAAAAATAATATTTCATTATTTTAACTTACTGTAGAAACATTACAATACTTATGTCTTAATTTCTTTATTTGCGAGAGTTAAAGCCTTTTAATTTTGGCAGAAACCTGCAGGGAATCATTTAAGTTTCTGTGACAACAGGAATACAGACACTTCTCATTATAAATCATCTGTTGAATGTTATGTGAATGTGAAAATAATGCGCTGTCAGAGAGAGGAGAGAGAGAGAAAACACAGCTGGTATCGGTGCATCGATACTGTGGAAAAGTGTTATTGAACTCTCAAATATTTCAGTAGTGATTTGTATCTAAAAATCTATATTTTTGACAAGGCTTCTGCGGTCTCACAGACGCTAAATCAGTGAAGCACAGTAAATCTCTCATTCTCACCATGTCTGGGGCTGGTTCATTATAACGGAAGAGCTCTAGCTCTGTTCTTTCACTTGAAGTGTTTATTAGGTGTTACACAATCTACATTACAATCCAGTCCAAAATAAACCCAGCGCTTTTCACTTGATTTCTGCCGCTGAAGTTTTAATTTTCAGACTCGTCAGGATGGTTGTCATTACTGAAAATGCTACAGACAGATCTGTTGAATTCTGCAGTCCTCATACTGCATCTGCTGCTTTTCTCCAGTGCTTTCTCTTTATATCCGAGACTGGTTTAATGTGTTGAACAAGTAGATTCTGTAGTTTCATTGGCTTACATTAATATCTCTTCATTGTCCATATTCACATTAAAACAATGCATGCAATTAGCAAATGCTTTTATCCAAAGTGACTCACAAAAGAGGAACAAAGCAATTCATCAAATAGTCAACAATAATCGTAATACATAATTCAATAGTCGTAATACATAATTTTAGACAACTAGATTGTTGAAACACATCTCATGAAACACATCCTCACTCTAATCCTGATCCATAACTGATCCAGGGTCAGCTACAATCACAACTGCTTTCCCACAATGCCAAGTCAGTGAGTCTGCACGTCACACCATATAAACACTTAATTGGATCAGACTGAACCTCCTGAAGTGGTTTTGCCCAATGAAGAGCGTTCCACTCCACAATCCTCTTACATATCTTATTACTGGCCTCTTTCCCACCACTCGATTAACCTGACGACTCTAAAAAACAATACTTAACCCCACCAGATAGGTCCCTCTCCTGTCAAAACTGTGTTCAGGCAGCTCTCTCTTTTTTTCTTTCATAAGACATTCAGGAGAGGAGGAAAGGAGCAGCTCAAACTCTGCAGCTGGCATACGTTCACTCCAAAACATTATACTAGACCTGTCCACTGGCTTCAACAGGGTGAATCATAAGATGCTTCTTGCTGTCAAAGGATCTATAGTTCACTGACACAAGCAGATCCTTTGCGGGGTTGTTGAGGCAGATGGTAAACACTGGGGTGCCACAGGGTTCAGTGCTTGGTCCCCTCCAATTGTCCATATACACAACCTCTACTGCCTCTATACAGATGATACACAGCTCTACCTGTCATTGTAGCTTTCAAACCCATCATCTCATCTCTGCGTGACCTTCAGGCATCTAGGACTGAGTAAATGAGCTCACCTCGAATAACCATTATAACCAGGTCAAAACGACGCCTACTACAACATTAACACTTTCTGTTCCTGCAAAACTCCTCCAGATCTGCTGAGACCATCACAACTCTCTAGAGCCATCTGAAGATACTCCTCTTCCACAGGCAATTAATTCACCCACAACCACCAAAAATACAGGCACTGCTCATGTTTTATATTTACAAAGCTATGTCCTTCCTGTTCTATTCACTTCTGCACTAGTTCTGGTTTGTCGTGGAACTACAATAATATGGTTCTGTTAATACTGTTGACATCTCTAGGATAAATTGGCTCTGTTTTTCCTCATTCATAAGTGTGTGTTTGTTTTGTCAATTTGGATTATATGGACGAGCATGTGTGAGATTCAATCCAAACAGAAGGAGTATGAGTGGATCAAATGAAACATGTGAACAAACTGACCCTGCAACGAAACAAACTCACACCACAGATCGACAATCACTCTGAAACACTGAGCGCAGACCTGCTAAAAGACCTTCTGACGCTGACAGAAACATGTCTGTAATCCATGGATTAAAGGATTTCATAGGCACATGTGAATGTAAGCTATTCTAATGTCTAGATTACATCGAGATACATCTACATGTTTACTTGAACAGGCACACGTCTTCACATTAGAGCACCTTCACCTTCACAAACCCTAATGAAGACAAACAGGAGAGGTTTAACCGGTGTGAGCGTGCAAGAGACTGAAAACGACCCTGATTGAACTTGTCTATGAGCAAGCTGAAATACTCACGCAATGAATCACCCTGATATTTACCTAAAACATCACTAAAGAATATTCAGAAAAAACATCACCAAGTCAGAAAATATCTGACTTTCCAATATTCTTTTATATATTTAAAATGAAGAAAAGAAAAACTCCGCTATTTCAATACTTTTATAATGAACAGTAGGCTATATATGCCAAAAGAAGCCCACATTCTATTGGGTCAAAAACGACATTTTAATTGTTCTTTTGAATAATATGTGACCCTGGAGCACAAAACCCCTCATAAGGGTCAATTTTTCAAAGTTGAGATTTATACATCACCTGAAAGCTTTCCATTGATGTATGGTTTGTTATGATAGGACAATATTTGGCTGAGATACAACTATTTGAAAATAAAGATACTGTATGCTTGACAAGATGTTTGTGAAGCTCTTTCACACATATAACTCCTGAGGGATCAGCCTAACATGATCCCACCGCTGTCATCATTTCGTCTTTATCACATATAACTCTCTGATTATGCACTCACACCTGTCCTCCTGTTGCTGTTGCCGGGGTGTGAAGTCACCTTAGCAACAGGCGTGAACCAATGAGAGCGACTCACCGTGGCGAGCTCGTCAAACTTGCCGAAGAGCTCGTTGAGGAGTTTAACGAGCTCCTGCGCAGTGCACTGCGACGCCAGACTCGTGAAGCCCACGATATCCGCAAACAGAATACTGCAGGAAAAAACACACGGAAAATCATTAGACGCTTCCTAACACTTCACATGAGGAAACACAAAGACTCGTATTTGCTCTCTTAAGAATCTGCTGTTTGTCCATCAGGAGCTCAGACTAAAAGAGATGTATACTGTATTTATACTCTATTATTTGAATCTGGGTGTCAGACTTTTATTGATTGCTCCATCTGATTAAGATTTCAGTGAATTATGTAGGAAGTGAACTGTCAGGAGACATCAGCTCAGGTCTCTGTGAAGGTTCAGTCACAGAGGATCCCCTCTTCTGACATGTGTTTGTCCTCTTCAGCAAGGACAGAGCTGGTTTGGGTTCAGGGACGTGAGTATATCTGCTCTTTATTGGATTAGATTCGTCAGAGGACACACGCACATGCAGAGCCTTTATTTAGCCGGCCTTACTCTCTCTCTCTCTCTGTCTCACATGCTGAAAACTCACTGATTTACATGCAAACAGACCAGAGAGAGAAGTGTGCTTTCACATGTCTTCTGACTTCACATTCTTTTCTATTGTTTTTCTACACTCAAAAAAAACACACACAACTCTGCACAAAGGCACCAGTCTGAACAAGAGTGAATTATGTTCAGGGAACATTCACATGTCAAATGAAATTGGTGTGATCTCATTAAATTAGCATGAATTTTACTCATCAGTACAATTAACTTAATTTAAGTTAAATTAAATCAGTTCAACTGTGTTGAAATAGGTGTCATAATTTTATTACAGTTTTTTTCAAAATGCTTACACACAGCTTTTGAAACTATGGCTCCATTTCTCAAAACTCTCCACACAACCCACCAAACACACACACAACATACAAAACATCACACTTCTTTGAAAACTGTTTTAACATTTCTAAAAAGGGTATTTTTGCATAGTAACTCTACACACAAACATAAAATAATTAGCCACAAACACGCCAAACTACACACATATGTGAAAAATGTCTCACGCATGACACAAGATTTTTCAAAGCCAAACGTGTTCTGTGTGAACGGCCCCTTGCAGCAGACGTGCCGTGTGTTTCTGTCTCTTTCGTGAAGGCCTCAGAATAAGATCAGAAGTATATGTCACGCAACAGACTACAAGCGCTCAGTCCCACACACTCAACCTGTTCTCATTCCAGAATAAAACACAATTTTAAATGAATTTGACAAAGACTGAAATAGCATGTTCTTGTAAAAACGTCCTCCAATATTCTTTGTTTCATTTACATTTTTAAGTGTTTGTTAACCTGAGGTTCCTCATTGGTGTTTTAGAAAAGAGAGCACACTAAACGACAAACAAATGTTTTGGATGAAATGTAAAGTTTCTGGAAAGCATTAATGATATGTAATGTCCTATTCTTTAGATATTTTTCACATTCTGTTGTTCAGATAGCATCGGTACTTATTTTATTATCTTTAGTAATTATTGCACTGATTAATCTGAATTATAATTCAGAAACATCTGCTCAAGTTAAACAGTTCAAGTCATCTTGTGTGCGACAGGAGGTAGAAACCATTCCAGCGCATCTCTGCTCTTAACCCTCATAATGCATTCAGCTACATTTTGATCTGGAAGAGATACATACAAATTTAAAAAAAAAAAAAGTTTTAAGTGAATGAACCTTTGCAAATGCTTTAAAACACTCAAAATATACCTTTTTTTTTTAAATAACCATTTAAAAACATGTTACACGTGTCATGTTTGGGTCATTTTGACACGGTTATGTATGGAGCACCATTAGGTGTCAAAATACTTTTTGTAAAATTATCTATGAAGTAATACTAGTGTCAAAATATCTTTTGTAATATATATGTTTAGCCATTTCCCCATATCTCACACACCTTTGGGACTGGATTTTGTTTATAAACGTGAATCTGCACCACTGCAGCATTGAAAACGTATCACTATTTGCCTGAAAGTGAAAGTTTATGCAAGTAAAATGAATGTATTTTGTTTGAAAACTTTTCATATATTTATGTTGTTTGAGAAAACAAAAGTTAAATAAAAACCATTATGCTTGAGTAACCTGGTGTCTGTATGTGTGAGTCTGATCGCTGTCCAGTGCTGAAAATTGTACACAGTTTTGAATGCACTCTGAGGGTTAGATGAAAAACAATGCATTAAGAGCCGGGGGTGAAAACTTTTTGAATTTGAAGATCAGGGTAAATTTCACTTATTTTGTCTTCTGGGAAACACGTAAGTATCTTATGTAGCTTCTGAAGGGCAGTACTAAATGAAAAAATATGATATCTAGTCAAAATAAGATAAATGTACATCTTTATTCTGTTAAAAAGTTTTCAGGCTCTTAATGCATGGTGTGTCCTTCTGGAGCATTAGTGAACGTTTGAAGCTTCTGTAATAGCTGCATAAGAGTCCCTCGGTCGTCCTCAGCGTGAAAGGATGCATCTCAAAATCATACAGTCATTGTTGGAATTTGGAAAGGGTTAAAATACACAAAAATACTGGAAAACCAAAGAATTTGTGGGAGCTGGGGGTTTTTCTGAAGAACAGCAGCAGTTTAACTGTTCAGGACAAACAAGGGACTCATGAACAACTATCACTAAACACAAAAACACAGCTGTGGATCATTCAGGCAACAACACTGTATTAAGAATCTTTTGTAAATGTAAATGTAAACTTTTGAACCGGTCATTTTTATCAATTCAACTATTATTTACTGTTGTGGACTATATAATTATGTGAAATATCTTATTCAGGTCAGTACTAAATAAGCAATAACATGCCTTTTGTGCAATCCCTCTTATTTTTGTAAAATAATTAACATTTTGCAGATTCTATAAGGTGTATGTAAACTTTTGACTTCAACTTTATATATGAGTCTGAATGCTCTCTGTGTGACTGACTGCTGGTCGCTGTCCAGTGCTGAATGCATTACGAGGGATAAGTGTGTGTGTGTGTGTGTGTGTGTGTGTGTGTGTGTGTGTGTGTGTGTG